AATACTTCTCCTTTCCTTTCCCACTTTCCTCCTGTACTTTTTCTCTTTTTGATGATTTTCATTGTGGTTATGATTTGCATTCCCCTCGTGATTACGATGCTGACCATCCTTTCATGTGCTTTGGTCACTTGTATATCTTCTTTGATGACAGGCCTACTGAAACCCGTTGCACAAAAAATTTTAAGATATTGTTGGATTGTAAGAGATCATTACATATTCTGGATATTAACTCATCAGGTACACTATGATCTGCAAATTATTTTCCTCCATTCTGCAAGTGCCTTTCCACTCTGATGGGGTCCTTTGATGCGCAGCAGTTTTGCATTTTGATGCAGCACAGCTTACCTGTATTTTCTTTTGTGGTCTGTACTTTTTGCATGTTGGTGGACTTGGGTTGCCATTATTTTGCTAGCGACTATTTTCATGAGATAATTGCTCTAGTTTCCTTTTCCTAGATATTTCTCTACAGATATCATGTCTGGTCTTGTTGTCAGTGTAATGTTGACCTTGTAGGATGAGTTGGGTAGTAGTCCTTCCTCTTCTATTTTTGGAGGAGTTTGCAAAGTGTTGATATTATTAAGTGTTTGATATGTACCAACAATGAAGCCACTGGGCCTCGGGTTTGCTTGTAGAAATTTTATGTTTTGTTTTTAATTATTATTTAACCCCTTTACTTGCTATAGGCCTACTCAGAACACTTAGTTTTCATTATCTACAGTAGCATATAGAGGGGTGATCAAAACACACAGCGAATGTCTAAGTTTTAAAATCACTTATTATAACAAAAGACACACTGCCATCAACCCCCTCAGATCTTCCCCCTCACTTCAAACACACTATCCCACCATCCTTGCCACTGTGTAAAGCAGTTCTGGAAGTGCTCTTTCATGTCTTATGACGTGTGATAAAATATGGTAAATGCTACTGCCACGTGCCACCCCACGGAAAGGCAGCTCATAAAGACATCACGTCGTGTCTTCATCTGCCTTACTCGGTCTGGCGCTGTGCAATTTCTGGCTGCTCCCCAAAGTCAAAACGACCATGGAAAGTAAATGGCTCAACTCGGTTCATATCAAAGTAGCCACAACAGTGCAACTAAAAACACGAAGGAAGGAGAGTTTCCAGGACTGGGGATTTAGCTCAGTGGGTTGGGGATTTAGCTTAGCGGCACAGCACCTGCCTGGCAACTGCAAGGTCGTGAGTTTGATTCCCAGTACCGGAGAAACCCCCCCCCCCCAAAAAAAGCATTTCCAGAACTACTTCAGAATGGGGCAAGAGTGATGCAGTGTATTCCAAGCAAGGAAGGGTGTTTTGAAAAGGATTAATGGCAATGTGTCCTTTACTGTAATTAAAAAAAAATACTTTAAAAAATATATTTTATAGACCCATTCATAATGGTGGTTTAATTTCAAACCGCCTTTATGATGGTGTGAAAGCCGTGCACCTTTCGAAGCTGTATGTGAGCCTCTCCTGGACTCGATATGCTGTGCCCTCCCGTGATGTCCCAGCCGGCCACGTGACCCTGAGGGGAAACAGCCGGTGCTCCGGCACTTGATGACCGTGTTGCCGTGCTGTCTCGTGGGTTCCGTGCATTAAATGCATTTTTCACTTGGGCTTTCAGCTTACAGTGGGTTTATAGCGCTGGAACTCCACGGCGCGTCAAGGAGCCCCTAAGACAGTTTCAGAGTTGCGCCCCACACCCGCTGAGGAAAGCCACACTCCTTGATTCACCGTTTGGAAAGATCTCTGGCTGCAGAGTTGAGAGCAGACAGCGGGGAGCAGGACTAAGACAGAGAAGTTAGACGGCACTCAGGATGTTTTAGGCGAGATGGTCGCAGCTGGGCCACAGCCGTGCAGCTTGGATCGAGGCGCGGTCCGACTCTGGATGCGTTTTGAGAGCTGAACCCACAGCGTCAAACCGGTAGACTGGATGTGAGGTAGGCGGGCGGCCCGGGACGCCGCTCGCGTAGGCGTTCGTTAGGCCGGCTGCCCGCGCCAAGGGCGTGGCGGGGAGGCCGCCTCGGGCCGCGCTGCCTCGGGCGCCACGCAGGTGCGCACGGGTGCAGCCAGGAGCCGCAGGAGATCCGCGGAAGGCAGCGTCTGCGCCAGCCGCGTGCCGTGGCGTTGCAGGCGCTCCCGTTCCCTGCCGGATCCCAGGAGCCGCCCGGCCTGCTGCCGTGTGCCCGGGCCAGAGGCTTCTTCGGCTTTCTAACCGTGGGCGGCCGCCCCGCTGGCACGCTGCCGGCCGCCAGCTCCAGCAGGCTGCAACGCCCCTCAGACTGCGGCCCGGCACAGGGACAGCCCGGGCTCCCGGCCCGCGGGCGAGGGGATGCTGAGGCCTGCGTTTCACCGAATCTCCCAGGCTCAGAGATTAGGCTGCAGGTGTCCAGCCTGGGAGCTGGCTTTCAAGATGGCCGCCTTCTTCCTCTTACAGACCCCCGACCTCCCACCAGCTGCTTTCACTTGAAGCACTGCTCCAGACCCCGCCTCGGGAGAAGCCAGGCCACCGGGGCACCCGGGAAGCCACAAGCCCGGATGCGGTCAGATGAAAGGCGCGGAGCCAGGAAAGGCAGACTTAACCCGCGCACCGACACGCAGTGAGAGCACGAGGTCAGGGAGAAGAGGGCACAGCGGAGGAGGCGGTTAGGAGGGGGGCGGCGGCCTCCCCGGCGGGAGCGGCCGGGGAACAGGGTGGAAGAGCGGCGCCGCGGGAGCGGACAAAATGGTGCGCTACAATGGGAGCTGGTTAGCGAAGCAGAGGCAGGAGGGACAGGAAGATCATCGCCCGACACCTCAGAGGGACCGAAGAATCTCTGGGATCGCAGCGCGAAGGGGCTGAGGGGTTACTGGGGAAAGTGAGGCGCTCAGCACGGCGCGCTCGCAGCACCGAGCTTCCTGCGGTGCCTGCTAGTAAAAGGACAGGGCTCCACAGCAAGACCGTGTCCTCAGCACCTTCTCACTGGAGGAAAGAGCAAGAGCCGAGGGCAGGGAGCTGTGCGAGATCCTCACACGGACGCTGAACTCACCAGTATGAAAGTCCTGTGCAGGCAGTGAACGGGCAGTTAAAATCTTTGAAGATTACGCAGAGTGACCAGGCTGGGGACTACAATACTGCAACAAGAAAGAGTAAATTGAAGATACGAGCTTCCTCTTGAACAGTTGGTGTTTACCATGTGCCGGGTAGTTCTGAGCACTTTATAAATAGTAAGCTATTTAATCTTTGGTACAACGCTGCAAGACAGGTTCATCTTACTGTTACAGATAGGGAGACACACGCCACAGAAGGAGCTATAGTGTATCTCAGTCCACGAATGAAATTTTTTTTTTTTGTTTTTGTTTTTCTTTTTGGTTTTTCTCCGGTACCGGGAACCGAACTCACGACCTTGCGCTTGCCAGGCAGGCGCTTTTTGCTGCTGAGCTAAATCCCCAGCCCCCCGACGAATGAAATTTGTTCCAGGACTTTGGAAAAGATGGCCATGCTTGTGTGGGAAACATGGCCATGGTCACGTTTGTCACCTGATGCAGTTTGCAAACAAAAACACGTTTGCCAAAGCTTGTTTGCAAATAAAAGCTTCCTTGAACCAGGTAGCACTGTCACGTCTTTGCTCCAGGCCTCTGAGGTTCCTGGTTCACTTCCGTGCCAGGGTGCACTGTGCATGGGGTACTTAATGGAGAATGGTCTAGAAGCGAGAAGGGCACTACCCCTCTTCCAAACCCCGAAACACAAAGGTTCTGGAATGAAAGCTGCCTCTCAGAGGGGCTGTGGAACGAGCGGCATCCTGCGTGTGGTGGGTGGTGGTGGAAGTCTGAACTGGCCGTCTTAATTTACAAATCATAATTTCGTCACATCACCTGTATTTGGCGCTGGCTTGTCCTTCTCGCTGCAGTGACTACAGCTCTCAGAAACATTGCTACAAGATACCAGGTCTTAATATTTCATGAAAGGCGCTGGGGGCCAGATTATAAACAGCGTAGGGGATGTCCGAGTCTGTCCTTGCCCTGCCCTCAGCCAGACTGGCGCGTGGAAACTCCCTGCTTTCTTCCGCTCAGAGCTGAAGCCCTATGGCTCATGATACCAGGATGCTCACAGGGCAAGGCGGGACCCTCTGAGGAGGAGAAGGACCTCTGCAGTAGCAGCCATCTCCCCCGAGGAAACTAGTCTTCTCACCCCTTGTCTCACCCTCCAAGAATGCCGTTCTTCCCTGCCCACCGCAGTCGCCATGACTGTCCCTGGAAACACCCACCGCCCTCCACGCGACTTCCTTGACTCAGATGTCATCAGTAAATACCAGGCAGTCTGTTCCCTGTGAGCAGCTGGGCAGCCCGGCTCCCCGTGGCATCACGTTCTCTCGCTCCCTTGTCACCGTGTGCCCTAGCACCTTGCCGGACGTTAGGGACTCACTGCAGGAGTCGCTAATAGAAAAGTATTTGCTACTGACTTGATGACAACTAATTCAGGAGATACTGTCAGGTACCCAGCACACCCCCCCACGTGGTTTCATTATTAGTGATGATTTATGAACAGATTTATCATTTTCTGAAACCTTCTTGGGACACTCACCCTCACTGCTCTAATATGTGACTTCACTAATTATGAGTTCCTGAGCTTGTGCCCTCGTTGAGAATAGTCGCTGGTTCTTCCTCATGCTATCTGTGCAGTCAGGATTGTGCAGGTCTGGTGAAGTGTGATTTCAGGTTGTCAAAGCTAAGTCGGACGACTGGACCTTGTCACAAGGGCGGCCTTGGAGCACACGGACCAGGCAGCTGGAGTGGTGGTCCTGCCACCCGCAACCCTTCCCCCAGAGCGTGCGTGAGGGCTGGGAACCCCATCTGTGCTGTGCAGTGCAGGACACAGCACGACTTAAGCAAGCAACCCCTTCTCAGTTCTCTCAAGGACAGTGCATCACTGGTACTATTTCAGATGCAGAGAAATTGACTGTACACAAAGGTACTATGTTTCTTTCTTCGTGCTGCTGTACTAAATACCATGAATGCAGCAGTTTAAAGCAACACAAATTTATTTTCTTAATGTGCTGGAGACCAGAAGTCCAAAATCAGTTTCAATGAGCTCCAATCCAGGTGCCATCAAGGCTGCAGGCTCTGAGGTGAAAACCTGTTTCTCTACCTTTTTCAGCTTCTAGGTGCCCATATCCCTTGGCTTGTAGCCCCTTCCTCTATTGCCAATGTGCAGCACTCCAGTCTGCATCCCCCAACAATGGCCTTCTCCTCCCCATAGTCCAACAGCTGCCACCGTTATTGGGGTACTCAAGATTACCTTTAGGACCTGCTGGGGTAATCTTTATACCCCACGATCCACAGCTTTAAGCATTTCTTCAACATCCCCTTGGCTTATGAGGTAACACAGGTTCTGGGAAGGAGGACTTATAGAGATCATCGCAGGCCACTGCTCAGCCCTGCACTCACACCTTAGGACCTTGGCTTGATCCTCTTTGGGACTCTAGTTGGAAGAGGCTGTTTAGACACTGTGCTCGTCAGATCTGCTACTGGCGTGAAACTGTGACTGAGCCAGGCTGACTCACAGTGACGAAACTCCACACAGTGCAACTCAAAAGTGTATGACTTGGTTGCACCTTTGGAATGCTCGAAAAAGGCCGGATAATCTCAGGGGAACGCATGACTGGGCTTCATGTAAACGCGTGTTGGAGTAGAGAGGAGAGGCCTCTCCCCCAGGTCTGACTGGAGCACGGGGAGAAGGTCCTGACTGTGGGTGAGCCTCGCTTGCACAGCAGCTGGAATTACGGTGAGGCTGAGCTGATCCGCAGGAGACCCAGAATGATGGGGAATTCCTCTCTTCAGAGAGCCCCGACTCAGATGATTGGTAGGGATGTGTTCAATTAATGATTATTTAAGATTCCTATCAAACCCGAGATCTTCGTTCAACTACTACGGATTTTAGGTGATGAAGCCAAAGCCAAGAGAGTGGTCACTTGCAGAGATCTGTAAGGTTAACGCAGGGCCAGATATTAAAATCTCTTTCTAGCCACCTTCAGACATTAATGCTCACTGAGAACTAACTCAGGTTTCCTTCAGACAAATGCAAGGGAATATACTCAGATATGCTATTTGGCGGGGAGTTTTCAAGCAGCAGAGGCAAACGCTGCTTCTCAGCACGCTCTGAGGAGTGGTCACTCCCTGGACTGGCAGGCAGAGACCGAAGCCAGCTGTGCTGCTGCCGACCCGCAGGCTGCTCCCAGGCTGCCTCGAGCGGAACAACATGCGGGGCGTCAGCTCCAACTGCAGGTGAAACCATTTTCATGATCTTAGAACCTCTCAAACATCTTAGGCAGAGGTTCCTTTGAAACATTAGCAAGAAGCTAATGAAAGGGGCTGAGGATTTAGCTCAGAGGCAAAGTGCCTGCCTGGCAAGCGCAAGGTTGTGAGTTCGGTTCCCGGTACTGGAGAAAAACCAAAAAAAAAAAAAAAAGAAGCTAATGAAGGTAAGACCCGAGGGAGGCAACACTGCATTTCACAATCTCAGAACACTGGTCAATGTTCTTCTTAATCCTGTAGAATTTATCCACATATTCAGAACGTCCCAGGAGCTCCACAAAATCTTCATCGTGAGTGATTATCAGAAGCTGAAAGTTACGCTGCTGTGAGCGACTTTTTATTATTCTGAAACAACATATTTAAAACATTTTATTACTAAAGAGTGTAAGTTTTAGAAGATACCACAAACCCTGTCGGACAAATGAACTGCTGTGTGGGGCAACCAAGCTTTTCCTGTGCTGTGTACGTCAGGCCTCTCTGGCTGCCTTGCGGGAAGTGGGGAGGGCTGGGGTGGCCGGGGCCTCCGGCCCTGCCGTGGCTTCTCATCTCCCGTCTGGGCAGCGGGAACGCACTGCCTACTTCCTGTCAAGAATTTAGACTAGTTTCCCCAGATCGGTGTGTTCTTACTAAAGAAGGTGCAAGTGTTTTAGGGATACCTCAAACACTTGACTTCTGGAGTCTGACTTCTTTGCCTAGATTTTTTTCATATATTGCTAGTTTTCTCTGGAAGAAAATTTTAAAGATGATAAAGAAAAGCAATAGGTAGGGGAATAACACTGCCTTCTTAGGAGCTGGGTCTACTTAGAATTCTGCCACCACTAGTCACTAGATGTATCATTTCTGACACACAGGGGACCTGAGTGGGTGTACTGGGAACATTTTTGCTCATGATTTGTATGCTGGGGCACCCAGCTGTAAGAGTGAGACCTGAAACACTGTAAGTAACCACTTGTTATTCCTTGCCTGGAGCTGGATGGATGCGCCTGAGCTTTCAGAGCGCTAGGAGCCCTTCCTGGCCGGTCCCCAGCACTGTGAGGGGTGACTGGTGAAAGCTGGCTGTGCTGTTCCAACCCATGCTGGCAGACAGGAAACACCACTCTGCTAGCAAGTCTGTCTGGAACAGGAGCGCCAGAAACCCCTCCTCCCACCTCAGGGTGGGTGCCTTTCCTTGTCAGCAGTGTGCACAAGCCAGAGCCACCCAACCTCGGAGCCGACCCCCACACAGACGAGTTGGTCACAAGTGTGTGCAACTTACCCTCCTTGCATTCTACTTAGTCACTAACAGGCTTTCTGAGTAAGAGCCCTGCCATTCCTGGGAATTGTGTGGCACATGAAAAGCTGGGCAGACAGTCCTAACCCACTACCACCACCTACAGATGTCTTGGTAGGGCACGCTGACTCCTCTGCATGACACGGGGGTTCACAGGAAAACCAAACAAAGCCCAGAACTCTCACTGCAACTTTCCCTATGAGCACATTAGGGACAAGCAGGATGTGTCTGGGCTATCTAGTTCCTTTTCAAGAAAAACTGAAGAATTACTACCAAAGGGTAAAATGTAGAACTTGGTTTCTCCATCAGGGAACCTCTAGGGAGGGTTGACAGCACAGAACTCTTTTGATCTTTCTTAAACAAAGATCACAAATGCCCCAAATATGAGACACTTACTCAACCAGAGCATGTGCAAGAGACTCAATGTTTTCTCGGTCAAGATTGGTCGTTGGTTCATCCAAGGCAAGGATGCCACAGTTCAGACAGAACGTTTCAGCCAGTGCCAGGCGGATGATGAGGGAGGCCAGCACCTGGAGGAAGCCATAAGTGAGTCACGCAGCACGGAGCTGCCACGGTATCATCAGGAGGGGAGCGGAAGAGGGGAGGCATCACAGGGTCACTGACGGCAGGGAAACTGCTGCTGTGAGGGAGAGCCCTGCCCTGGGACCAGACTTTCATGGCCCTCTGCACGGAGGCAAACCAGCTGCATTCTCTCTGCTCACCATCTGCTATGGAATGAAATGCTAAACCTATCAACCGTATCAAAACTTGAAGTCACAGGCTTGGACCAGAGACACATTACCATTAGTTCTAAGTAATAAATTTAATAAAGGTGTAAAAGTACCCACTTTAACTCTTGACCTCGCTCTTACAGTTCTCTGATAATAAGACATGCTAGAAAATTTACACATACTGTGTTTTCTGAGTCTCAGAGAGTTGTCTTTAAATCTCCATATTCTGTAGTCCAGAAAACGTACCGGGAATTGTGTGCCAGTCACCCTGAAATGTGTGTAATTCTGACATGAGAGGGATAAAGTAATTATGGATCACAATATCTGGATGGGTATAGAAGTACAGTTTTATTCATACTTACATGCAGGAAATCCAAGTCACCAGAACTACCAGGCACTGTCATGGGTAACAGAAACCTAACACCAGAATCCTCAGACTCAACTAACTGAAGTCACCTGAGAGTACAATGGACCTAGGATTCAGAGTGTAAAACTATGCTGGGAACCATACACTACTTTGTGTAAACTATACATTCCTTTTCCCACTGATGTTATCACTTGGGGATTTTAAGAAGAGTACAGGACATGCCTTCTCTTTGAGGCTCAGGGCAGGCCAGCAGATTGCAGAAGCTGGGGCCACTGCTGCCTTTTTGTGGGAAAGGTACTTCCTTCCTGCCTCTGAGCCCCACCACCGCCAACTCTATCACCACCCACATGCAGAGCATTAGGCTGCCTTAGGCCTCAGCAAAAGCCAGGGTTAGGTAAGGTGGAGGTCCACCTCCACCAACCCATGTGTCTGTCCTCTCTCCCAATGCCAAAGAAGCTATGACTACTAATTAACTCTAGTCACTTAGAGTACCTACAGGAAATCTACTTTTCTATTTTAAATCCGGAGACCATGTTTCAAACTCTTTTATAACTAACACAAAGAGGGGCTAGGGGTTTAGCTCAGCGGCAAAGCGCCTGCCTGGCAAGCGCAAGGTCGTGAGTTCGGTTCCTGGTACCGGAAAAAAATCAAGCAGAAAAAAAAAAAAATATTAACACGAAGTCACCAAAGCAAGTAGATAGTGATTATAGATCACAAATTTGTCATTTTTGCATTCTGTGATTTAGATAGTAATCTGCAGATGCCTTAAATTGGTATTCGTTGTCTGGGCTGACAATACATAATATGTGTGGCATGTTCTTTTAAGCAAAAGCTAAAAACCATAGAGATAACTCAGATGTGGACCTCTTTCTCTAAGGTTTTGAAATTTTAGAGAAATCAGGGTCTGTAGCTAGTGTAATCTGCTTCTAATCTGAAAGAAGAAAGCTCATGAAGCTGGAAAATCTTTGCTCGGATTTGGTTTGGTATCTGCCTGCGCGCAGGGAAGGACTTCGCCTTGTTCCTTGGAATGCAGGTCCTAGTTTTCAAGCTCTGGTTCCCCTGAGTGCTTCCTGCTCTCCAGCCTATCCAGGCTGCCCTCTTGGAGACTAACATGGGCCAGCTGGCCTGACCTAGCGCCTGCATCCTGTGTGGGGGGTGAGGGAGGGGAGGCCCCTCTGAGGGTCAAGGCCACTGACCGCAGACCCCATCTCAGATGTCCCCAGGCCCAAGCTAGTGGGGTGGAACGACCCAGTCCCAGTGCTACATTCTCAGTGGGACTCTTGCATTCTCTAATTCCTCATCTGGCTTAGTCTAGGATCTAGTTTGCTAATATGATTAATAGACTACTTACTAACTATTAATTCTGAAACACAGGCTCCCATTTTGACTTCTCTGAAAATAGAACACATCTTAAGGTTGTAACTATGTTTCTTCTGGTTTGTTGCTGTTGGTTTTTTCTCTGGTTTTCTGAGACAGGATATCACTATGTAGCCCAGGCTTGAACTCATGGCAATCCTGCCTCAGCCTCCCAAGTGCTGGGATTATAGGTTTGTGCCAGCACGCCTGGCTGTAACTATGTCTTTCTTATGTGGTGACACATAAAATAGTGGTATGCCTTGTAACTGATGCAGCAGTGGCCTTACTCTGATAAGGGCATCTGTGAAATGACAACAGTGTCTTGAGCTTGTTCCACACTAGCCGACCCTATAAAAAGCTTCAGGCTGTCTGCTCAAAGCCACAGGAATGCTGGCATCAGGCGGGCACGGCATACGGGTGGTAGCTGCCCCCGAATTACCTGGTGTGCTATCACGAATGCTGAGAGGAGTGCCACACCCCCAAGGGCAGTCCTGGGTGGTTCTGTGGCACTATTCGTCCTTCACTTCTTTGTGTCAAGTGGCTCCCCACACTCACAAGATACCTGCCTTCTGCCCAGCACTGCATCGTCCTCGCATATCCAAGGCCGCATCTCCTTTTAGCATCACTACTCGGTAGTTATAATTCCGTCTTTTATCAGAAGCTGATACATTCTCGTCGGCGTCAGAGCGGATTTCTATGTATTCAATATCTACCACAGAAAGAAGAGTATTTTAGAGAAACTTACTTTCTGTAGCCTTCTGTCACATACAGACTTTATGGAGGAAGCCTGGGGGCAATGTGTGAAGCTGATGCTGCCTGGGGAAAAGCTCTGGCTGGGAATCCAGGAGACTGCAGCCTGTCCAGAAGAAGCCTGGTCGTCCTAACTCGGCCTCAGCTCTCTAACAGTTTTCTCTGCCTGGTGTGCTTTTTATTGCACTGGCTTATCCCTACCGACAGAAACTACTATGTCATCAGCTAAATATGATGTCTGAAGCAGCCAAGTATACACTGTCAGGCTTGGGAATAGAAAATTTTGTGTTTTTTTTTTTTTTTTTCTCTACAAGATATTGTTAAGATAAAAATTCTTAGAGAATCTCAAAGAGATGCTCAGAAATGGGTCCATGCACTGTTGTCATGAAAACAGATCATATGTGGAAGAGCTGTGGATAGGCTTTAGGAAGAGCTTTTATAATGCACTGTGTTAATTACCTTGTCCACGATAGGTACTTCGCCAAAGATCACGAATAATTTTATTGATTTCTTCCATTTTCATACTGTGAAATTTCATTATTGCTCTGGAAAAAGAAGCCACTGGTACGTTAGTGAAAAAATAATATGTACTATTAGATACATATGAAGTCTAATAATTATATGTAATTGTGTATGTTAAAATACATAACAGCAATATAGTTAACTATAAAATAACTTCCTCAGTAATTTCAACTATAAACGCCAGGTGTGGTGGTGCATGTCTGTCATCCCAGCACTCGGGAGGCTGAGGCAGGATTGCTGCGAGTTTGAGGCCAACCTGGACTACATAGTGAGACCCTGTCTCAAAAAAAAAATTTTTTTTTAAATTATAAAAAACAGAATCCAGGGGCTGGGGATTTAGCTCAGCGGCACAGCGCCTGCCTGGCAAGCGCAAGGTTGTGAGTTTGATTCCTGGTACCGGGGGTGGGGGGGTGGGAAAGAATCCAGTAATAGCTAGGAAAAAACAAACAAACAAACAAACAAAGGAACAAACCTTGCTGCTTCACTAGATCTGAAAATCACAGGCCTACTTCCAGTGTCCTGGAGTCTCACTCTTCTCCATTCTCACTTTATAACCCACGCTGTGCCTGTTTAAGTAAAGACTTAAAAACCGCAGAAGCTACCAAAAGCCTATTTGTATAACAGGCTTCTTTCTCAGGCCGTGAGGACTGATGGGGAGGCGACCGCCACTGAGGCCCACCGGCCACAGAAGTCCCGCTGAACACATACCGTGTATTACAGGAGCGGGCGGTTAGCCGGGGGCCCTTGTCCCTGAGGAAATCACCACCGCTGCCTGGTCCTTCTACTGCTATTAAAGTTTGCGAAGAGCCAGCCCCTTATGCTACTTTTATTTCTCAGATCTTAAAATTATACCAACCAGAAAGTAGTTTTGGTTCAGAGAAAAGTGATTTAGAAGCTTAAACTGAGCTAACCTCAAAATTTTACTTTGCCCTCTTAACTGAAGATTCAGAAATCCTGATTCTAAATCTACGTACTAGGTTCCACTTAGTCCTTGAAAGCCCCTGTCCCCCAAAATCTCATTTAAGGTAGTAGTTTCTAAACATTAACAAGAAGAAATACTCATAAAAGCAGCCGTCAGAATCTAACATTGTTCGTACTAGAGTCACCTTTCACCACAGAGACCTTTGGCTCTTGGGAAGCAGGCTTATGAGCTAAGAAATGTCAGTCCTGTGGTGAGAAGGCAACAGCACCGCCATCACCGTACAAAGGATGTGAGGAGGGTGACTTCCATTTGCAGACTGCTTATCTGATACATACAAAAAAGGAAACTGAACGTAATGCTCCGGCCTCTGCAGAATCATTTCATGATCTTATGGTTCACCAGCTAGAGAGAAAGAAATGACTCAACATAAATATCAGATGAAGGATTACGAAGTAGTAAAGCCTGGAAAAAAAGGATATTCTGCTTCTTGATGACAGTGCAAGCCTCCATTTTCTACTTTACACATTTATCTCAGCCTAACAATGTATGCTCCTTTCAAAAAGACAGACACTAAACATCTAAACAGTTTCTTAAAGCCGGGCGTGGTGGCTCACACCTGTAATCCCAGCATTCGGGAGGCTGAGGCAGGAGGACTGTTGCAAGTTCACGACCAGCCTGGGCTACAAAGTGAGCTCAAGGCCAGATTGAATTGCATAGCGAGACCCTGTCTCAAAAAGACCAAAAAAAAAGAAAAAGAAAAAGAACAAGTTTCTTAAAAAACAAAACTCACAAAATGTTCTCAGAACCAATCATGTACAGACTTCCTTTCCACAGCTTTCTACATTATGACCCTGATTTTATTATTCTAATATAATATACATCATATACACGTATTGAATCACTATAGTGTACCCCACAAAGATGTACGCATTAAATAAAGCCCACACTTCACAGCTCTTAAATTACTGCCTGACTCTCATATTGCAGAATAACTAAAATGGGGACCAGTTAGACTGTATCAGTTAGTACAAGTTAGGTTTTGCTGTAGTAACAAAGTGCCCCAATATCTCAGTGACAAAAAAGTCTTACAACAAAAAAATTTTTAAATTTTCAAAAAGTTATTTCCCATTCAGGTTAAAAATCTTCACTAGCTATGATGAAGCATTTTAAAAATAGAGAACAAAGCCCAGACAGGCAAGCACATTAAGGCGCACAAGAAGTCTCTGCCCTGGCTACCTGTACAACAGAGGTGGCACCTTTTAGAACCACACTGTCCAACAGCTAGGATGACCTAGGTGACAACAGTAATCTACTTAAAGGTACAACAATAATAAGAGTGAATAAGATTGATGAGCATTTACCTTACATAAGATAGCAATGCTAAACAGTCAGATACTATCTTATTTAATCCTTACAATAATACTGCAAGTTAGATTTTATCTCCATTTACCATTAAAAAAGGTGACATTCGATGAAACTGGTAATGTGTCATGATCAGAGAAAAGGGACTAGGACATTAATAGCCCTTGATTATGACAGTTAAAATTACAAAGATGGTGAAAAATTCATCTTTCAAAGCTACTAGACTCAAAGAGTTTCATAAGTGTTATCAAATCAAGAGAAATCTAGCTCCCAAATACATAAACTATTTGTAGTAAGGAGAAATATAAGTAAAAAGAGAAAAACGTTTAGGCCTGTTTGCTTATGTAAACAGAAACATTCTAAATAAAACCAAATTTAGTAGTAAGGGTACTGAAAAGAGCATATGACCAAGTGGTTTTTATCCCAACAAAGCAAAGATACATAACAGGAAAATAATTTCAAGACAATTTACTGCATTAGCAGATTAAAAGAAAAAAAGATTACCTCAATAGATATCAAAGAACCTTTTAAGACACTGTAACACTTAGTTTTGATAAAAAATCCCAGTAAATGAAAAATAGAAGAAGCATATCCGATAAAATTCTCTCAGGACATTATGGTACATGCCTATGATCCCAGCACTCCAGGAGGCTGAGGTAGGAGGATCACAAGTTTGAGCCCAGCCTTGGAAACTTTTTGAGACCGTTTCAAAGTTAAAAAAAAAAAGTGCACACACGCACACACACAGAGGTACATATTCTACATGTAAGAACCAGAGAGATGCCTCCCAGTATGGCTACACTAAAGTGATGCCCTAGAGATTCTAAAACGTTGAATAAGACAAAAACAAATGAAGGCTAAATGACAGGGGAAAAAGGGAAAACCATCATTGTTTTTGCAAGTGGTATAACTGTATGCCAAGAAAATCGGCTGAAAACTAAGATTAATAAGATGGTCAGAAATAAAAATTAATAGTGTTATTATCTACTAGCTAACATCATTAGGAAAGACAATAGAAAAGAGGATCCTATTTACAATGGCAGTAAAAATGTATGTAGGAAGAAATCCAACAAAAAGGTAAAGGATATTGAGAAAAAAGCTATAAAACTTTACAATAGGGCAAAAAGTACTAAACTGATTGAATAGGAGACACACTAAGGTGTTAAAAATGAAATATTCAGTATTTCAAAGATACCCACTCTCCTGAAATAATCTCTAAATAAAATGTAATTCAAATAAAAAGCTTAACCAACGTTTTTAAAAACTGGTAATGAAATCCACAAGCTCACTCTAAATTTCTAAAGAAAATACAAAAATAACATACAGCACAAGCCTCTCAAAAAAAGTGAAACTATCAGAAGAAAACATTTTTATAATTACAGGATTAAGAAGACATTTCTAATTAAGACCCAGAGTAGAGAAGCCATAAATAAAAAGATTTGACTACCTAAAAATTAAGTCACATATGATATCATAAAGGAAGCTAAGCAACAAATGACAAGCTGGGAATAGGTACTTACATAATGTTAGGGAAGAGGATTCATATCCAGAGTCCATAAAAAATTGATGTAAATCCAGAAAAAGACAATCTAGTAGAAAATTTGGCAAAAATATACAGACGGGCAATTCTCAGAGAAAAACTACAAAGAGCCAACATATGAAAAGACAGTTATTCTCACCAGTAAAGAAGTGAGAATAAATAGTGACACCATTTTTGTGCAAAAGATATAAAAGTGATCACATTAAGTACTATTGGTGGCAACATAAATTTTACTGGCAATAACAAGGTAAACTGTGCATGTTCTCTGACCTGGCAACTTCGTGACTACGAAGGCATCTTTCTGGTGTACCTGCCCAACTGTGCAAAGATACATACTGCAGCATAACTGGTACTAAACTTTAAGAGCTTTCTAGAAGTTCATCATGAAATTAAGTAAGTAATATTCACTTTACAGATAGGAAGCCATTAAAAAATGAGGTACATACATGAACATAAAAGAATGTCATTGTGTGTTGAGGACAAAAAAACAGAAAAAAACTATTCACAGAAAAACAAAGAAGAAAGTATGTCACCAGCGTAATAATACTTAGACACTGTCATGAAAATATTAGACATTGTCATAGAAATGAACCAAAATCTACCCTGAAGCATGTTTTGTGATTTGCATATTCATAAAGTATGGGCAAATACAAATTATCAGTAACAGAAGGCTGAATGGATTAAATGGTATAAAGGGTACAAGAGAAAAAGGTACAAAACCGTGGAGCACAAAGAAAGGAAAAAAATTACATGTTTTTGGAAGGGCTTCATCTAGGTAACAGTCAAAAGAGAAAGAGCACTAGAAAATATGGGGTGTCTTTAAGGGATCAAAATTGTCCCATTTTGTTAGGAGTCTAGTAAGCTGTGAGTCTGCCTGTCTTTTTTATTTTTTTAAATTTTTTGGTTTTTTTCTGGTACCCAGAATCGAACTCACGACCTTGCGCTTGCCAGGTAGGCACTGTGCTGCTGAGCTAAATCCTCAGCCCCTATTTTTTATTTTAAAGAGAATTTAAAAAAAAGAACAATAGCAAAATGCCAACAACATAGACAAAAATAAAACAAAAAGAATGATACAGGGTTTCAGAACAAAATGGTAGGGATTAACAGTGGTTCTTATATTACATATTTTTATCTTCATCAGAGCTGGTCACATGCCATGAGTCTTTCTAAAGTGACAGTCTTCTTAAAGTGATGAGATC